TAAAGAATCCACCTGCAACGCAGGATATCCAGGTTCCACCCCTAGGTCATGAAGATGTCCTGGAGAAGGGAATGGCAACCCACTCCAGTATTCTTGCCTGGGAAATCTTATGGACAGAGGAGTCTGGCGGGCTACAGCCCACGGGGTTGCAAAGAGTCAGACACGACTGAGTGGCTAACACCTTCACACTTTCTTTTCACTTCCTCCAGGGGCTCTTCCCCAACCCAGGGATCGAACCCATGTCTCCTAAGTCTCCTGCACTGGCAGGTGGAGTCTTCGCCACTGAGCCACTAGGAAAGCTGAGTAGCAACTATTTCCCGTGGTTGCTAGCATCTGCCTGCCTCAATTCTTCTAAACCGGCCCATTCATCTGCAAGTAACCACTCTGCTAAGGTTCCTGAATTCCAGCCATCTGGGATGAAGTCTAACTCCTGATAGCAGCCTGATTGAAACAGCAGTGAAGAGGAGATATGACACTTATGCTGCTCTTTTAAATACCTTGAAAAGAGGTCATCATCCCAGACTGGCAGACAGATAAAACAGCTCAGCGGTCTGCTTGAAACTAGCCTTCAGGGAGAGTCAGACAAGATATTTTTTTCCCAGATGTATCGATCTCTCCAGGCTTCCCTGGTGGCTCAGTGGTAAAGAATCCACTTGCAATGCAGGAGATGCGGATTAGATTCATGGGTCATGAAGGTCCCTGGGTCATGGAAGAGGAAATGGCAATCCACCCCAGTATTCTTGCCTGGAAAATTCCATGGATAGTGGAGCCTGGTGGGCTGCAGTCCAAGGAGTTGCAAAAGAGTCGGACATGACTGAGCGACTAAACAACTACAGATCTCCTCTCCACTTCCAGCTCCACCACTTGATCTTGAATTTATAGAAGACAGATAAAGGGAAACTTAACAATACATTCCAGTTTGTTTACCTCAAGCTGCGGGGTAGAGTGGGGATCTGTGAGCACACAGAATAGTATACAATTAGACTATCTTTCAGACCAATTCTCTCAAGGATCTAGGCATAGCACAAAAGAGGAAGAAGACTCCATAAAATTAACAGTATCTTACATTTTATAGTACTACTGTTTCCAAAATGTTTGCTGTTCAGTCACTCAGTCATGTCCGACTCTTTGCAACCCCATGGACGGCAGCACACCAGGCTTCCCTGTCCTCCCCATCTCCCAGAGTTTGCTCAGGCTCACGTCCATTGAGTCGGTGATGCCATCCAACCAATTCATCCTCTGCCACCCCCTTCTCCTTCTGCCCTCAATTTCCCCCAGTATCAGGGTCTTTTCTAATGAGTCAACTTTTCACATCAGGTGGTCAAAATATTGGAGTTTTGTATCCTTCATGTTATCTGACTTAGATATTGCCTACTTAGGAAATCAGACCCTAACAATCTGATTGGAGGAGGCAAAGCTAAGAAGGTAAAGAGAACACTGAAAATAGCCATACTACAAAAAGTAAATAACATTTGGAGAGTAGGTATACTGGGCTATCTCATCTAATGCAATTGTTCCAATTCTTGTTTAAAAACTGACTATAAAGCAATTTTCTTTTAATCAAAATGTATTTTTCCCATTAACTTCCATTACCAAGCCAAAGATATGTTCCCCACAGGCAATATTTTAGCCCTAAGTCTAAATAAAAATAACATTTAACAATGCAACAAACCCCTCTAAAGTCAATTATCTAAAGTAAAAGCTATAGTTTTCTGACCAAACAATAATCACACTCAAAGTAATACAGAAAAAGCAAATAAAGTCTCCAGAACAACAATACCTTAAGGACAGACCCACTTAGAGGCAAAGTCACTGACAGAGGCGTCCATGTGAGGCAGACTGTGATGTCATGATTTATAGTAAGAAATATATACACCCGTTCTTTCTCCCAGTCCTGGGAGGAAGAGTTCTTAAAAACCTCGGAATTTCTGTTGGAGGAGGTCGTTGAGAGGACATGACCTCCCCTTGACTTCTGAATTGGCCCCGGGCAACTGGAGGCTCATCACCCCCCTCACCCCATCCCCCGTCCATGGCATGTACATACTGCGCACCATTCCCGCAGCTGGAACTGTTTTCAAGCATGCAACCTTTGAGAGAGCCCCATGGTGTTGAGATCGTTGGCCCAGCATATACGAATGAACAGTTAAGTCCTCTACATAAACTTTTAAGACCTCTGGTGCAGAGATCTAACCCTCTTGCAACAGTGGAAGACAAGCCTCGTTTGTAAATATCCTTGCTTATTCCAATCTCCACCTACCAGTCTGGCCAGTTCTTCTCTCCTTTGTACTAACAGTGTCCTAAGTGATAAGAGCATTAGAGGCGAAAAGGAAAAAAAGTCCTTTTTCTCATTCATAACAAGTCCCGTTCAACCACAACTGAGTTTACTAGTTTTTAAAGAAAAAAAAAAAAAAAAAAAAGGTGACTTTCAGAAAGCACAATTCCAAGAGAAGCAATCAGGTGAGTGGGAGGAGGGGTGAATAAGGGGTTGGAACTTTCAGTTCCACCCTCGGAGCTACCCGTACCCCTCACGCCTATGTGGGACACAGTTTGAAGGACCCTGGGGAGGTTACACTCAAAACTTTCCAACACTTGATGTCTGGCATTCCATTCCTGCTTACATTCCTTTAAGCTAAATAACACTTCTTTCTCTCAGAGTCATAGTCTTCTTCCTTTTTTGGAGGGGGCGGGGGGAGTTGGTGATGGTCCTACCCTGAAGCACCTGGAATAGACATTCAAGGGTCAATTCAATTAACTAGCACCCAGATGAATTCAATCATACAAATAAACTGGCATCTCTAAATGTCGCCTCAAGTGGCCATAGGCAGATCAGAACTTTCTTCTGAACAGGAAATAGGCTTTAAAAGGTTAACTTGGTATACCTTAGAAGCCATGTAATCTTTAGACCATCTACATCAGAATTACCAAAGATGCTTATTTAAAAATGTACATACTTATCCCCACCCTAGACCTTCTGAACCCGTATCCCAGAAATTGTTCTGGAAATCTGAAACCAAACAAGCTCCCAGGGTCATGTGAACACTAGAAAACCACTGTGCTTAGTCGTGCAGTCATGTTCAACTCTTTGTGTGACCTCATGGACACTAGCCCACCAGGCTCTTCTGTCCATGGGATTCTCCAGGCAAGAATCCTGGAGTGGGTTGCCGTGCCCTGCTCCAGGGATCTTCCTGACCCAGGAATTGAACTCATATCTCCAGCATCTCCTGCATTTCAGGCAGTTTCTTTACCCACTGAGCCACCTAGGAAGCCCATTAGCACACTAAGACCCCCTAAACCTTGTTCCCATTAGCTCATGGTATCAGACTGTGGAGAAGCAAACCTACAGATCTGTCTCCTGACTACCTTCATAAGGCATGTTAACACTAACACATTGCAATTAAATGTTGAGATTAATTTCCCATCATGATTCCCAAGGAGAAGCAATGCTGTGTTGAATAAAATGACATTATAAAGCTAGAGTGAAGTGGGAAAATGCATAATTTTCTTAAAAATAGAAAAACAATAGTATTTCAACCATAGTCCTTAATTTTCCCCCTTTTTCCCAAAATAATTAATGTATTATTCCTTCTTTTATTCCCTTTCAACAGTACCTCTCACTCATGATCTTGCTGAAATAACAGGCCATGCCAATCATTTTGATGATCACTTTAGCTGTTATTCTTCCCACTAGTGAGCAGAAATAATCAGTATTTTTCAGTTTAGATTCATCCACTCAAATAGACACCTTCAACAGGAAGAAGGCATCTATATTTCCACATCTCACTTTCAGGAAAACTTCCATAATACTCAAACTATTGATCAAAAATGAGCCCTAGTCTGAGACATACTGGAAATTTCCCTGGGCAAAGGAGATTAGCTAAGATCAGGTGACCCCAAGATTCAGGTAAAACTCAGCAGCTAGCAATCCAGACCACAGAATCAAAAATGAAGGAATTTTCGCTCTTCAACATTCCAAATAGTAGATACGGTTGATCCCTAAACAAAATGAGGGTTAGGGGCACCTATCCTCCACAAGCAAAAATTTGCCTTTAATTTATAGTCTGCTCTTTATATCTGGAACTCCTCTGCATTTCTGTATTCAACCAACAAACTTTAGATTGTGTAGTACTATTGAAAATCCGCATATAATTTATAGTCCGGCCCTCCATAACTGAGTTCCCTCTCTATCCGTGGACCTGTATCACAGATTGAACCAATCTCGGATGGTGCAGTGATGCAGTATCCACTGTAGAAAAAAATCTACATATAAGTAGATCTGTGCAGTTCAAGACCGTGATGTTCAAGGGTCCACTGTACTTGTCTTACTTACACTGTACTTGTTCAAGGGTCCACTGTACTATCAGGCTGCCAGGACAAAATACCACAGATTAGGTGATTCAATTACATGACTCAAATTATATTTTCTCACCTTTCTGGAAGCTGGAAGTCCAAGATCAGGGTACCACAAGTGTCAGGTTCTGGTGAGAGCTCCCTCGGGGTGGGCAGACAATCATCTTCTTGCTGTGTCCTCACTTCACGCTGTGTAAAAATATTTAAGTAAGTAATGGACAAGTAATTCGAGGCCTGAACAAAGGCGTGAAGAATAACAACAACAAACAATTCTGTTAAAGTAGCATATAGGCTCTCGGTCCCATATTGAACTCGAGTTGGGAGAGCCGAGTCCGGTCTCAAAATGGAGGTAAAACCGCCGCCCGGTCGCCCCCAGCCCGACTCCGGCCGTTGCCGCCGCCGCCGCCGCCGCCGCCGCCGCCGCCGCCGCCGCCGCCGCCGGGGGGAGGAGGGTCATGACCCCAAGGAACCAGAGCAGCTGAGAAAGCTGTTTATCGGTGGTCTGAGCTTTGAAACTACAGATGACAGCTTAAGAGAACATTTTGAGAAACGGGGCACGCTTACAGATTGTGTGGTGATGAGAGACGCCCAAACAAAACGTTCCAGGGGCTCTGGCTTTGTGACTCACTCTTGTGTTGAAGAAGTGGATGCAGCAATGTGTGCGCGACCGCACAAGGGTGATGGGCGTGTAGTGGAGCCAATGAGAGCTGCTTCTAGAGAGGATTCTGTAAAGCCTGGTGCCCATCTAACAGGGAAGAAAATTTTTGTTGGTGGTATTAAAGAAGATACAGAAGAATATAATTTGAGAGACTACTTTGAAAAGTATGGCAAGATTGAAACCATAGAAGTTATGGAAGACAGGCAGAGTGGGAAAAAGAGAGGATTTGCTTTTGTAACTTTTGATGATCATGATACAGTTGATAAAACTGTTGTTCAGAAATACCACACTATTAATGGGCATAATTGTGAAGTGAAAAAGGCCCTTTCTAAACAAGAGATGCAATCTGCTGGATCACAAAGAGGTCGTGGAGGTGGATCTGGCAACTTTATGGGTCGTGGAGGAAACTTTGGAGGTGGTGGAGGTAAGTCTGGCCGTGGTGGAAACTTTGGTGGAAGAGGAGGCTATGGTGGTGGAGGTGGTGGCAGCCGAGGGAGTTATGGAGGAGGTGATGGTGGACACAATGGATTTGGAGGTGATGGTGGCAACTATGGCGGTGGTCCTGGTTATAGTAGCAGAGGAGGTTACGGTGGTGGTGGACCAGGATATGGAAACCAAGGTGGTGGATATGGTGGCGGTGGTGGAGGATACGATGGTTACAATGAAGGAGGAAATTTTGGAGGTGGTAACTATGGTGGTGGTGGAAACGATCATGATTTTGGAAATTATAGTGGACAACAGCAATCAAATTATGGACCCATGAAAGGGGGTAGTTTTGGTGGAAGCAGCTCGGGCAGTCCCTATGGTGGTGGTTATGGATCTGGTGGTGGAAGTGGTGGATATGGTAGCAGAAGGTTCTAAAAACTCAGAAGAAAAGGGCTACAGTTCTTAGCAGGAGAGAGAGCGAGGAGTTGTCAGGAAAGCTGCAGGTTACTCTGAGACAGTCGTCCCAAATGCGTTAGAGGAACTGTAAAAATCTGCCACAGGAGGAACGATGATCCACAGTCAGAAAAGTTACTGCAGCTTCAACAGGAAACCCTTCTTGTTCAGGACTGTCATAGCCACAGTTTGCAAAAAGTGCAGCTATTGATTAATGCAATGTAGTGTCAATTAGGTGTACATTCCTGAGGTCTTTTATCTGTTGTAGCTTTGTCTTTTTCTTTTTCTTTTCATTACATCAGGTATATTGCCCTGTAAATTGTGGTAGTGGTACCAGGAATAAAAAATTAAGGAATTTTTAACTTTTCAATATTTGTGTAGTTCAGTTTTTCTACATTTTAGTACAGAAACTTTAACAAAATGCAGTTTTGAAGGTGTTTCCTTGTGAGTTAACAAGTAAAGAAGATCATTGTTAATTACTATTTTGTATGAATTTTGCTAAAGTTAACTGTAAAGAAACACCTGCTGACTTGCAGTTTAAGGGGAATCTATTCTCCCCATTTCCAAACCATGAAACGAATGGCTCTGACATGTGGAGAGAATAGATATTTGTATGTTTGCAATATGTGTTTTAGATAATAGAGTTGGGTATTTAAATTAGCATATTTGTGAATTTAATAGCATTAAGATTTACCTTCAAATGAAAAATCTCAAAATTTCAAAAAAAAAAAAATAAAGTAGCATATAGGTTCTTTAAAGGAGAATGTGAAAGGTGTGATTGGAAGGACTAGATGCAAAAGAACTTGAATATCAAGTTAAGCACTTTAATTTTATCCTACAGTTAATGGTTACATAAAGAAGGTTTCTGATGAGACAAGAGCCATGGTTAACGGGACACTTTAGGGAAACTATCATGGAGAAGAACTTTGCAAGGTAGAGATCAGAAGAAGGGAAATTGATTAGGACATCACTGCAGGGGTCCAGTCAAGTTACTCTGAGTTCAATCTTTACAAAGTTGTTACTATCTAAGATGAATAGGGCAGATTATTTCTCTCTTTGGCAAATGAGGGAAAGGAGCCTCTAATGTCCCAAATTCTGCGGATTAAGAGACTAAATTGTGATCTCGGGGCTGGTAGATTGTAGAGTGTGTAACTAACCTTACAGATTTCTAACTCCAAGTCCGATCCCATTATTTAAACAAACATTTTCTAAGTCAAGAATAAAATGGATAATTTCCATATGGTTCCCTTTCTCCTGGAGGGCAATCTTGATTCTTCTCCAAAAAACCCAGACGTTTTTAAAAAAAAAATAAATCTACTTGGTTTTTCAAGTAGAAAAGGAGAGTTGAACTAAATTCCACATTGGTGGAAATCTACAGGAAATGTATCATAACGGTTAAGAGCATGGGTACCAGTAAGCAGCTGGGTCCAAATCCTGGCTCTGCCAAGTATAAGTGTGGCTCCCAAAGCCCCACTTTTCTTATCCATAAAATGTGAATGTATTAGAACATATCATGAGATAGCCATGAAAAGTGCCAGCTGCATAGCAAATATTCAGTAACCATAAACCGTGGATACTCTTAAATACATCAAATAAGAAAAATTCTCAGTTGTTTAAGCTGAAAATGTGTTGAGCAGGTTCATACTGGTCTCTAGAATCAAATGTGGTCTCCCAGTTGGAAGAATAAGTCACCTGTGGCCAGGCAGAGAGAAGGAGGTTTACTTTTTTTTTTTTTTTTTTTTTAGGAGGTTTACTTTAAACAATGAAAAGGGAAAATTCACTACGGACATTTTTGTTTAATTTCAAACATACCATGAGAAAGACAAAGAACATTCTATCTATCCAAAAAAAAAAAAAAAGATCATGTATTATACCTACTAGAAGGTCAAACTTGTAGTTTCAATCTTTCAATGGTATATGCACATGCTAATTTACAAAGGTAAATTCTGTCGATTAAAATGAAATGATTTTGCTTGGCAGTCAAGTGCAGGAAGACAAACATCAAATCTCAGTAGCTACACTTCCAGCTGTTTTGCAAACAGAGATAAAAGATAATCCCTGACTAAATAGCATCACTTTCCGGATAAAAATCAACTCTGAAGAGCACTGCATTGAATAGGGGAAGCCAGGTTTACTCTAAAAATATCCAATAATTGGGGCTGAATAATATTTATTAGAAGAACTTATGCACAGTGTTGAAACTGACAAGAGTGTTGCTTTTTGGCACAGCATGGTACAAGTATCAGTAATTAAGGAAAAACTTAAAGAGCATCTGCAATGAGAATGCTCAGTATGGCAAATCTCTCTGCAAGTAAATTTACCATGCTTCATTATTGGTATCCAGCCAAAGACACACAGAACAATTTAAATGTCATGTGATATCACATCACTTCATAAAGCTTCAAGATTTCTAAGCTCTACCACCATTTATGGAATTACCAGTATCATTACTAACACTTGCCCTATCCCCATCAACAACCTCACTTCTAATAGCAGCTCTATTAGAAGTGAGGCCAACTCACTATCTTCACCTCTTCAACTTTCATTACGTCTTCTACCACCATAAGCATCGTCAGTTCTACCACCGATGTTGCCAGCTCTGCCACCAACATCATCATTCCCGTATCTATCTCCACAACTCCTTCACCAACACTATCCACCAACCACTCCACCATGTCCACCATCCCCTCATTGTTACTGGCTGGAGCACACTTGTCACCACACACAGCACTCACAGTCATTACCATAGTTCTTCATGGACCTCTAGTTTATCAAATGCTACAGACCCACGTAGTTTCCCTTTCCTCAATCCAAACTGCTAAACTGAGTGGCAATATAGAAAATTAGTCATATAGCAGTTAATCCTTCTGTATGCTGATCCCAAACTCAGTTTCTGCTGAACTGCTCACAATTTAGGGTAGAGAATAGATGTGCAAACAAGCAGACCATTTCTGTTTTTATTTTTTATCTAGCCACTTTACCACTGCCATTTCAATGGCATGGATTATTTTTAATATGGCCACTGCATATTGGAAACTCACCCATTTCTCATCCCATCCCGCACCCTCAATTTACGACACATCCCTGACAGTGGAATTCAGCAAGAGTATGTTACCTGGGTATAGGATAAAACAAAATAGCTTACACATTCAATCCTAAAGGAAATCAACCATGAATATTCATTGGAAGGACTGAAGCTCCTGAGACTGAGGCTCCTGAGACTGAGGCTGAAGCTCCAATACTTTGGCCACCTGATGCAAAGAACTGACTCACTAGAAAAGACCCCGATGCTGGAAAAGATTGAGGGTGAGAGGAGAAGGGGACAATAGAGGATAAGGTGGTTGGATGGCATCACCAACTCTATGGACATGAGTTTCAGCAAACTATGGGAGATGCTGAAGGACAGGGAAGTATGGTGTGCTGTAGTCCATGGGGTTGCAAAGAGTTGGACGTGACTTGGCCACTGAACCCCAACAATAATTTTAATAAAAGTAGTAATCCTACTGATAAAAGCATACTTCAATCAAAGGAGCCACATCAAAGTTACAGTGTCAAGAAATCTCTAGGATCAGAGATTACATTAAAATGCCCACTTTGAAAAACCTTCAATTACAGTTGACAATAACATGTGCTAAATATTATGGTACCAATAATGCATTCTGCAAGAATTACATTTTCTGATGACAAAGAACACAAACTCACGTAAAAAATTTTTTCATGTCATTTAGAAATTCCCCAAGTCCAATTTGTTCATGTGAAAAAATTTGATCAACTATTTCTCAGGTGAATCCCCATACTCATACATTACAACCAAAAATACTTTCACTTAATGAATTAACAAGAAGTCAAGATGTTGCATTGTTAAAAAAAAAAATAAAAGTATCTGATGGGAAGCAGATGGGAAACTTAAGAAAATGGGGGAAAATCTTTGGTTGATGGTAAAGAACAATTATACTGGATATCTTTCAGCTTTCTATATATGCTCAGAAGCATCCAACTCTTTGCAACCCTGTGGACTGTAGCCTGCCAGGCTCCTCTGCCCATGGGATTTTCCAGGCAAGAATACTGAAGTGGGTTCCATTTCCTTCTCCAGAGGAGGGCTTCCCTGTTGGCTCAGATGATAAAGAATCCACCTGCAACGCAGGATATCCAGGTTCCACCCCTAGGTCATGAAGATGTCCTGGAGAAGGGAATGGCAACCCACTCCAGTATTCTTGCCTGGGAAATCTTATGGACAGAGGAGTCTGGCGGGCTACAGCCCACGGGGTTGCAAAGAGTCAGACACGACTGAGTGGCTAACACCTTCACACTTTCTTTTCACTTCCTCCAGGGGCTCTTCCCCAACCCAGGGATCGAACCCATGTCTCCTAAGTCTCCTGCACTGGCAGGTGGAGTCTTCGCCACTGAGCCACTAGGAAAGCTGAGTAGCAACTATTTCCCGTGGTTGCTAGCATCTGCCTGCCTCAATTCTTCTAAACCGGCCCATTCATCTGCAAGTAACCACTCTGCTAAGGTTCCTGAATTCCAGCCATCTGGGATGAAGTCTAACTCCTGATAGCAGCCTGATTGAAACAGCAGTGAAGAGGAGATATGACACTTATGCTGCTCTTTTAAATACCTTGAAAAGAGGTCATCATCCCAGACTGGCAGACAGATAAAACAGCTCAGCGGTCTGCTTGAAACTAGCCTTCAGGGAGAGTCAGACAAGATATTTTTTTCCCAGATGTATCGATCTCTCCAGGCTTCCCTGGTGGCTCAGTGGTAAAGAATCCACTTGCAATGCAGGAGATGCGGATTAGATTCATGGGTCATGAAGGTCCCTGGGTCATGGAAGAGGAAATGGCAATCCACCCCAGTATTCTTGCCTGGAAAATTCCATGGATAGTGGAGCCTGGTGGGCTGCAGTCCAAGGAGTTGCAAAAGAGTCGGACATGACTGAGCGACTAAACAACTACAGATCTCCTCTCCACTTCCAGCTCCAC